TCCATGTTCCTTCCATGTCTTAATGATGGATTTAACTGGACTCCAGAGATGTTCAGTAACTTGGAGATGTTCTTGTATCGTCTCCTGACTGATGCGTCTCAACAACCTTGTCATAACAGCCAGATCACATCGACCATGATTTAATGCTGACAGGCAATAAAAGAACAAACCCCAGCGGTGGTTTGTAGGTTCTGTCTACAGGACTGAGCTCCATGTGAGGAACCCTGACTGATGGTTCTGACTCAGAATCTAGTGGTTTACCTGCATGACGGTTCCGTATTTGACCACGTCTCCGTGGACTTTCTTGTTTTCTGTCTCGTTCTGCTTCTGCTCCAGATTGGACGCGTGCTGTGAGACACATTTCATGGATCAGTTCAGCTTCTGCTGACGTCTCTGTAGAAACACTTGGTTCTGTTGGACTCACGTCTTCACGTCCATGTTTCTGCAGAAATCTGTTACCTGCAGCTTCTGCAGCAGAACCACGTCGGCGATCTTGTCCTTCTCATGTTTGGCTTGTTTGGCTTTCCAGAACTGTTTCTGAGCCGAGTACCGGCTCATGGGACAGACCTTGAACAGGCAGTCTGAAAGCAGAAGGAGATGTTCCTACAGTCAGACCACACATCTGGAAACACACAGCAGAAGCTATCATAGGGGGTATAAGGAACGTTTCAGCTGATCAAATCTACGTCTTACTCAAGTTTCATAAAGAACACAGCTGGTGTCGGGACGCTGGACATGCTAATGCTATCAAACATCATCACATGATTCAACAATGACTTTATAAATAACTGTGATGGAGCTCAGTTTGTCCTGTGATTTAATCAGCAGACATGTGATTAAATAAACTGCTCCACTTGTAGTTCAGGACGTCTGGCTGGTCCCAGCTGGTCTTTATCTCCATTAGTGGAGGACGGATGACAAAGTTCAGCTGTTTGGGTCCAAACGCAGCTTCTCCTGACAGACGTTTGGTTGTTGGTGCGTCTCAGAGAAATCACATCTAAGTGCATGAAGTGAGCAGAGACGTGAACTCTGCTCCAGAACGAGTGCTGCTACGCCGTCCATCCGCCCCGACCTCCTCCTGCACACACTGACCACACGGTGGCGCTGCGTTAGAGATAAAACGCTGATCCTGCTGAAACCTGAACGCAAATATTTAATATCAAATGATCAGAATTTCTGGGTGAAAGCTTCGGCCTGCTGGTGGCGCCAGACCTCGGGTCAGCAGAGTTATTAGGATTCATCCTCTGGAGAGGACGAACGGTTGAGCTGTGTGATGATTAAACATGAAGCAGGCGTGTCATAAATAACATGCATCATAACAGTACCGCTGTGGAGGAACGCAGCAGGACAGGCGACGGGAGGAGGTAAATATTGACTCTCCTCCATCACATCCTGGACGGGTCGGCGCTGTTCTGCTGTTTGTCGAGCAAACAGTGTTGAGCTGAGTGGAGCCGCTCATGAAACGGATCTAAAGTCCACTTCAGCAGCGTTAACACCGAAACACAAGCACAACGTTCAGAACACGCTTCAGGGCTTCGCCTGCTCATAGAGGTCCAGATTCACAATCATACGGTGGAGCGACCAGCACATGACCACTGTTCTGATCCGTCATCTGGTTCTGTACCTCCACATATGCATACGTATATATGTTCCACATCATTTTAAAGTGTGTTTGAAGCACATTTTTGAGATTAACGGAATGAACTGGGCTGCAGAGTTGTCAGAAGGTGGCGCCGTCGGCTGCATGACTTTATTAAACTGAGAAGCTGAACTGGTCATTTGCTAAAAAACCACAAAGAAGAAGAAACGAACAAAACTTGGCGCTGATTGAAGACACCAGTGTGGTACCAGGATGGACGGGTTCTGGTCTGAACGACGTCGAGCAGCTAAACGAAGCAGATGCTGATGTGAAGGAGTCAGTTCTGAATCCAGACCAACTGTAGCGAGCGTTTGGCTTCTACTGACCACAGCTGATCGCTTCTCTCTGATTTTACTTCTCGTCGTCTCATCTCGTTTTATTTCAGTCATTCAGCTTTGATGTCTCCTTGTTCCTGTTCTGGTGGTTATCGGGTCGATCCGTTACCAGTCGTCTCCCGTCTGATTCAAACTTTGGTGCTCTACTTACAAACTGGTTCAGCTGCTGACGTCCAGATGGAAACATGCAGCCGAGTCCGAGTCCACGAGTCTCCGGTGACCGGAGCTGGCCTCACATCAGAGTCCATCTCCAGCAGACGCCTGCTTCGGTTCCAGCGACCCAGGACCGGTTCTCTCTCCGGGATCAGACCTTCTACACAGTCTACATCTTTCTGACAGCGAGAATAAAAACTGTGGGTTTGTCGTGTTTCAGTCCAGGAGAGGAACACGACGGACGACGTGGAACATCGGACCTACATCCAGGTTACGTCCTGCACAAGCTCAGTCTGCTCACTTCAACGCTTTAACGTCCACGTCGGACCCGGATGTGAACAGAACGCCGCCGTAGGACGATTCTTATTCCACACATGCAAACCAATCTTTCATAAATCCACATTAAAAAGATAAAGTCAGAACAAAGTCATCATTCCACAGGAACAGAACTTCTCAGGAA